CAGCAGGTTCCAGTTCCCCAAGCGTGCAGTTTACCTGGCATTTCTACAGTGATTTTCTCATGAGACATCTAGCTAATGCCACTGATTGTCTTTTACTTTTTCCTTGGTTGTGCAGTGTTTTGGAGGTCAGGATATGAATACATTTACTAGATATAGCATTTAAGGGGATATTCTTGTGAACCAAATTGCTATTTTAAAGCCACTTTTACCTCACTTTTTCACAAGGCCATGGCAGTAGTTACTTGATACATATTTTTAGGCCCCTAGGAGAATGTATCCTTTCAATGCTTCCCTCTGTTCATATTACCTGTTTTTAGCATTCTTGGAGCAAAATGGATAAGACAGTGTGATTAAGGATTAACACAACATATTCTTGAAGTCTGTGTTACTTTAAGTTTCTAGTCTATTCCTCCACACTGTTATAAATGGTAATACAAGTGGTTGACCAGATATTTCTCTAATTTCTCCACCATTCTTAAATTTACCCAATTTAATAGGTTCATCTTAGGCACTTTCTGACTCAAAGTTTTATTATTTTCAAAACTAAAAAAAATTTTTTTTTTCTAATAAAAACATTAACTACTTTAATCTAAACTTTCTGGAATAGACGGAGTTAAAGAAATCACAGCCTGATACTAAAATTGCTAATATCTTTATGTGTTTTGTTTTCAGAGTAGCAGCAATGCATAATCACCTGTTTATTTACTGTCATTTATATATGTGCGCAAATATAAAAGATGTCTGTTTATGTTCCCAGCAAAGAAATAAGCTAGAAATATAACCATAGGAATGTTCTGATAATAAATGCCAGAAATTTATCAAAAGTTTCAGAAAAGCCACAGTAAAAATTTTTTAATTTTGAAATCAACAATTCATTTGTAAACATACATATGCAACTATTTAAAACAGCTAACATATGACTGTGCAAGTTGATAGAAATACTCCATCACATCGTACAAGTTATATACACATCTGTTGTTTATACAAAATCTACTATCTACAGGCACTATTAAGCAAACATTTGTTGAAATTACAGATAAAACTACATAACAATGACATGAAATACTTCTGTGTACTACATTTAACAAACACATAACAACTGGTATAAAAGTAGCAAAATTATTGACCATTTGAAATAATGTATAAGTGGTGTATCTCTGCCCAAGCATACTTTTTAGGATTTCATAGTTCAAGTCAGTCAACCTCCATTTTATGGTAGGTTCAACACATAAACAAATAAAAACAATCGCTACTCATATTTTCTTCCAAACACAATGCTTTAGTAACTTTAGTTTCAACTGTCGTGGATGATAACATTGTTTTGTTTATTTTATGTTAACCATTGATAAGGTCGGTGGGGGGACAGCTCTTTAAGGCATTTTTTTTTCAACACTACCATAATTTTTAACTTTATTACTCCTAGCCACTTTATGGTACCAGCAACTATTTTTCTAGACACTGTGGAAGACTGGCTGGAAAATTAGGAATATGATTGCTATAAAAGAAGAAAACAGAGAACTTGTTGGTTTTATTCTCCACTTCAGCAAAAAAGTATCCTTGTAGTGGCTGTCAGAGGCTGGCATCCTTTTAACGTTTTGCACTAAACTAAATATCCTGATTTCTGTGATTTGATTTTCATGTTGCATTTAATCACCTTTAATGAATGCAATTTTTATTTTATCAAAAGAGTCTATAACTGCTTATAAAAGTGGTCATCAGAGAGGCTGTAGATATTCTTCATTATATTGATTGTAAAGTATGTGTTTTTAAATAATATATATATATATATATATATATATATATATATATATAATATATATATATATATAGATATATATATATATATATATATATATATATATATATATATATATATATTAGTTTCATTTGAATAACATTTCAAGAAAATGGGGTGCGGGGGGAGGGGTGGGACAATGAAAGAGAAGAACACATTTTGCATGGGGTTGTATCTATGATATCTACTGACTTATCTAGTTTACTTCTGATATGCCAAGAAGTCAAACACTGAGACCAATAAATCAAGACAAAACATTCACACAAACATGTAAACCACAAATACACACATCAAAAAGTAATAGGTATTAAAATTATGTCTGGGGTTTTCATTAATCATTGAAATATCTTCACCAATGCAGTATTTTTGTCTCGCTTGTTTCTAACACTTGAACAATAAAGACTGTTGTTTTGAACAAAATCAATAATAAGTGAACTGACTGCTATAACTGGAATGAAAAACATGAAAACAAATAATTATGTATCAATTAACCTGTTTTATTTTTGTATCTTCTTTTCTTTTCTTCATTGTGTGACGAGGTTTGTTGGCTGTTTTGACTCCTAGGAAGTACAAGGATCAGAATAGTCACCAGCAGACAGGAATATGGCCAAAAAATGGATCAGCCATCACAGATGTGTGAATCAAATCAGGTGTGCAAGCTGTATGTAAAATGCATACACATCCAAAGTATTTAAAAGACTTGGTGAGTCTATAAATGATGATGCATCAAAGAGCTCACATCAAATGAGAAATGAATTAGTCTAAATACTCAGCTCATGCATAAGGCAGATTGACCTTCAAGCCTTTACACAGCTGAGTTGAGACACCAGTTGACCTTCAAGCCTATACACAGCTGAGTTGAGACACCAGTTGACCTTCAAGCCTATACACAGCTGAGTTGAGACACCAGTTGACCTTCAAGCCTATACACAGCTGAGTTGAGACACCAGTTGACCTTCAAGCCTATACACAGCTGAGTTGAGACACCAGCAAAAGATTAAGCACTGATTAAAGCTGAAACTTTATGTTGCAAACTTTTGTCTCCTTGGAACTATGAAATAAGAATATTTTCACTTTTTCACTTCCAGAAGTTCTTTCTCACATTGCTTCAAATGGAGCTAAGGATGCTACATAATCACAGAGTATAATGATGCTCACATTCAACAACGCCTCAGCATGAAATATATCTCATGGTAAGTTTACAGCACCTGGACCTCATCAGCATATTTTCCAAACTGAGAACAAGAAGTTCAAGCTGTTTGTGACATCTTTATGTGCAGATATGTGACAGTTGTATAGCCACTCAATAATTTATGAGACTTTAACCATCAACAGTGCCACTTGGAAAAAAAAAAAGATGCACACCTCATGCCAGCCAACACCTTTCTTAACCCAAAAGATGGTGAAAATATGGGGGTGACTGCAGTCAACTAAATTTGACTTAAGCTTAACAAAATGGGGATGCAGTAAAACTTGCACAAAACCACACAAATAATGTTATGGCCGGGCAGCTTTTTTCAAACATAAGTGAACTACACAAACGTAACAACGAGGAGAGGAGAGTATGTAGATCTCTAAAGGGTGACCTGAGCAACGTTTAAAAAATTGTGATGTGGAATAAATAAAATAAAATAAAATAAACGATGGTTAAAAAGTATAGTCACACACAAAAAAAATAAACAGTAGTATTGTTAATATATAATATAATACTGGGAATAAAAGAAATACAAATGGTAATGATACATAAATGATACTGATAAGAAATAGAAAAAAGTAATAATATGAAATAAAAGAAAAGAAAAAAAAATAATTAACATTTGAAATGTGATAAGAGTAGAACTATTTAGATGAAGGTATGCTGGATATTGATAACACCTGGACTAAGAACGCCTAGGCTGTGGATGAGACAATTTTCCAAAGCGAGGCGCATAGTATGATCGCCAGAGCAAGATTTTAATGCTGTGACAGATATATCATCTTGACCTCTGTGGTCAGAGCTATTAAAATGGAGAAGGATTGGTTTAAGTGTCTTCTTGTCAATATCGGAGAGGTGTTACCGGAAATGATCAGCTAGCTTCCTGCCAGTTTCCCCAATCTATGCCTTGCTGCATCATTTGCAAAAAATTGCATAAATTACGTTGCAGGATTCGCAAGAAAAAGGTTCCCTAATTTGGAAAGAACCAGCCATTAGGGAAACTGACTGAAGAAGTCTGGACAACGAAATGACATGTCTTGCACGTGCCGTGTGAGCATTCAGTAGTCCCAAAAGGAAGTGCTGTGTGGATCGGTGGGAGTCAGCTTCGGACAAGTATGTCTTTAAGGTTGCAGTCTCGTCTGTAAACTAATCTAGGTTTCTCACTAAAGATAATCTTGGTGTCCAGATCAGAGCGGAGGATGTCCAAATGACGAAACAATACTTTGGAAGCAACCACATTGTTAGGGTGAAAAGTCAAAACAATTTGGGTTCATTACTGGTCGAATTACGTTTGTTGGGGAAAGCATCTTTCCTGGTGATTGCCAAAACTTTTTTAGAGCTCTTTGTAGAATGTGTTCCGGATCGAAACAGGCATGGAAGAAATCAAGAAGTTCAACTGATTTATCAAAGAAGTCAGAATCATCAGAGTACAACCTGCACAATCGAAGGAGCTGTGAATACGGAATAGAATTTTTACACGGTAGTGGGTGAGACGAAGTAAAGAGGAGATAACTGTGAGAATCCGTGGGTTTGTAGTAGGCTGTGGTCTTCAGACACGGGAAATCAAATCAATGCTAACCGTGATGACAAGAAAGTTTACTGAAGTGGTGGAGATCAGTGAGGTGAATTTGATAGGCAGATTGAAATTGTTGATATAAGTAATAAGTTGGTCAAGCTCAACCTTGGATATTTTGGTGATACCAATGCCATCATCTATGTATCTCCTAAACACCTCCGGAAACTGATAAGCTGACCTCATATTCCAGGTGGCCCATAAAGAGGCACCGTGACCCCACCTATCTGGTTAAAATACTCACCATTGAACTCAAAAGAGTTAAGGGTCAGTACCAGTTCGGCAAGTTGTACAAGAACACTTATGTTTGAAAAAGGCTGCCCGACCTAAATGTTATTTGTGTTGTTTTGTGCACGTTTTTCAGCTTCCCCATTTTGTTAAGCTTTTAAGTCAAATTTCCCTACAATTCCTTAACCCAAAAAAGTTTGTTCACAGTATCAGTGCTTCTTAGAAAATATGGCATCACAGATGTCCACCCATTTATGGTACCATGGTCCAAGGTACTCAATACTATTATTAACTCTCTTATGTCTTGGATCAAAGAGTTTATTCCTCCACAACTTGTCACCTTTAAAGAAGTACATCATCTTGTCTTTATAAGAATAATACACAACGTCCAGGTTACTTGGCAGGGGTTCATGACCTTCAGCTGGAGGAAATTCTTCTACAATCTTACGTTTCCTCACACAGCAGCCTCTTTCACTCTCCGATGCTACAGGATTGTACACATAGACCTAGGAATACAATAAAAATTAGTTGCAACACTGGGAATATTATTACATCGTAAAAATAAGTTTAATTAACAACAGAATAGTCCAAGCAATATCAGCACTTTATGGTATAGAAATTATGTATCAAGCAAAAAACCTCAATATGAGTTCCCAGGTCCCCGTATGGGGACAGGCACACTGCCTCCCCAACAAGCCTGTCGTAGGAGTCTACTAATTGGGGGCTTTGATGTCAGAGTGCATCTGCTCAAGTGGCAAGGAGCAACCAACTGCTCACAAATAAGTCAGCAAAATTAATTTACTAGCAAAACTCGGGCTCTGGCACAAAGCCAAAGTCCAAATGGATGAACAAAGAAGAAGACGAAGAAGAATTCCAAGGCACTGATAACTAAATTTTTGTTTAACAAATATTTGTTCTAACTGGGGACTGATAATACATCCATGAAGATACCAAAGTTTTGTTCATGTTAACTGAGTATTTTTCTAAAGCGAATTGTGTTAATGAAGTTTTATTGAAGACAATAGGAGAAGATTC